AAACGTAACGTAGGCTTAGCTGAAAGACTACTTGATAAATTTTATTTTGATTTTGGCTACAACTCAATGTCACAAAACTTCTGAATTCAACTATTTTGCTGTTATATCACCGAAGTTATAAAAAATAAAGAATAAAAAACAAACCTTTTTAACAAATCAACATGAATATTGAGCATTCAACATAAACACCATAGTTGGCCTAATAACAATAAAGTGATAGTTTTGTTGTTAAGTGACGATGTATATTGTTGAGCATTATCAAAAAAGAAGCGTGAACGCGTTCTCGAGAGAGTGACAAAGGAAATAAACCTTTTATAGTTAGTGATTTAATTTTAAAAAAAGCTTTAAAATTTGCAACAACAGTAAGAAAGTAAAAATTTGAACTCATGTATGTTATTTGTGATAGCTTGTATATGTTTTGTTTGGAAGTTTGAGAACCTTAACGAAATGTTTTTACCAGTTTGTACTGCTAAAAACTCAACCCAAATCAAAGCTAACAGTTCTCATCCATAACTGTCCCATAATGATGCTTAAGTTCACACTAACTTCATAGGTTTGTAAATCTTCAAAATAATAACTCAAAGTAAATAAAAAAGGAAACGTACATATGTTTACTGCAACTCACGATTATTATTTTGTTTTTGTATTTCGATACTGTACAATTTTTTATTGTTTCAAAACTTAATATAGTACTTTTTTTATTAGTTAGGAAAGACGTTACTCGTTCGCTCTTTAAAAATAATGGTCCCGTTTCAAAATTTAAGTTTTTGGAAGATAACGTGGCTCTGCTGTTTCTATAGTAACAGTGTTTTATCTGTTTTTCTTCTGAGTCGTGAACGGTATATACCAGAAGGTCATTCAATGAATGTATATCTTCGAAAATTAATAACGGTATCCTCGAAATTTCTGGTTCAGGATCGGCGTATGTTTCAATTATTGAAATAATATGCTGCTTTGGAGAACCAAATACATGAACTCAGTTGATCTGGGAAATATATCACTATTTCAATTCTTTGAAGAAAAAACAACAACTTTGGTTTGTGCGGGTCAACTGTAAAAAAAGTTTCCCCATATTTGTGGTAGTAAGTAACTTGGTATTTAATATTTAAAGTTGATGAATAACCCCATGGGGAGGGTCAATTGTAAAGACCCGAAAGATTGCTCCAAGGGGTAAGAAACTGGACTTACGTTCGATAAGACTGAATTTAAGTTAGGCTTACGTGAACCACGTAAGACTGTAATGTTAATTAACCTTGAGTTGCTGCTCTGTGATCTTTCATCAGGTATAATCTAAGTATATCTGTTGAAAACTTTTAGCTTATGTAGACGTTGTACTGCAACTTCTCATGTTTCAATGCTATAGCGAAAACGTTATGTTGCTTAGACATTCTTCCTAGCCAGAAAAGTGTAATCAGGCTAACCGCAGCGCTCCAAGCGGCAGGTTTGATAGAGAAAAGCTGTGGTGATGATACTCAAGTAGGCTACAATATAACAAGTCTCTGCATCTATACACATATGATACTTTCGCTATTCATATGAAAAAGCTAACAAAGTGAATGTAGTCAATACTAATTTTAGTTTATGTATTTAATAAACGTAATAATTATTCATTGTAGTATATTTTCTCGTTTTAAATCACGAGCATTACTTTATTTCTTTTCAAAATTTGTTATACCTTCTGAATTTGTGCAGCATTTTACCACATCGACGAAAAGCATTTGTCAAGACACAGCATGATGATTCAATTCCAAAATAGTAACTAACAACAGATACAGTGAATATAACTTTTACCCTAATCTTTCCTGTTGATATTGTTCGAAGATATAATTTTAATATTCTAATTTATTTTTTACCTAGAGGGAGCTGCAGATAATAATGATGACACAGGTTTAGAAAGTTCTGAGATTTGATGTCAAGTTTTCCAGTATGTTGTAAGATAGATTATAAATAAGGGTTTGAAGAAGATAATTAGGATAGATAAAGTTGTCTTGAGATAAAGAGTTGAATCAGTCAGAGTGTTTTCGTGAAATATTATATTTGATATCGCACTTGTTGAGTTACTGTATAAGTAAGTTGATTTTACGTTAATCTTAGTATTGTTAGAGAGATCTTAATATATTTTGTAACATAGACCCACAACAATTTATAACAGTGTACAAGTGTTCAAACTTGTAGAGACGTTAAAAGAGGAAAAAAAAACTAATCTGTGATAGTTACGTGGGGTGGAAGTTAAGTTGTTATCACCAAATTATTGAAATGAACCCGCCAACGAAAGAAGAACAATACAACATTATGTACTCAGACAACGTCTTTGCATCACTGGTGTTTTATGCTTGCTCACTAACACTTATTCTCACCATAGCTATAAGCAAGCACAAGCATGTACACCTACAGATTACACATGTAATATATTATGTATTGTTATACTGATAGATACATACTACTATAAGTCTATCTATTTACTTAGCCCCCCGGCACAGTGGTATGTCTGCAGACTTATACTACTAGAAACCGGGTTTCGATACCCGTGATGGGCAGAGCACAGATAGCCCTTTGTGTAGCTTTGTGCTTAATAATAAATAAATAAACCATTTACCTAGAAACTATTTTTGAGGTGCAAGTTAAAGTTTAAAAATCCCTACAGTTACTGTGACAAAATGTTGGTCCGGCTGCTGCTCGGTCTGCCGAACCTGCTCGAGCGCACATGGATATTAATGTTTATTTTGTAAACTTCAATAAAAAATATTCAACCTAGTGTGAAGTAGTACTTGATACCTTTCTTCGTGTGTTTACTGCTTGGATACAATACCTCTTCCTGTACTTGTATTATTTTCAACTGTCATAATTTCACAAAGATTCATATTATGATCTACAAACTTCTTAAAGCGTAAACAATATTAGGTCACTTCATTCATCGATGTAATGTCGTATCAAAAAAGAAGAAAAGACATTCCTACTTTTAAACTATAAACTCTGGAACATGTCATAAAGTGTAGAGTTAGATAAGCGGCTTGGTAAGTGTTGTCTAACCAGCTACTAGATGGCGCGACTAAAATTCATTACCTTTGTAGTGATAGAGAGTGGGCCGTCTTAGCGACATTGTGTTTGGCTATATAACTTAATTTACAACCGTAAAACATGCGTGATCCTTAATACGATATTAATTACAAAAATCATAATTTTCAGTACTTATTGAATTTTAAAAAGCCTTTTTTTTTCTCCATTCAAGTGAAAACATGTTCCTAGGTAAAATGTCTTAGGCATTGAGTCTTGTTTGAACTAATTAGTTTGATAAAGATACTTGGTTAAAACTCACGTAATATTTGATAAGAACATTTAACGTGTGGTTATAAAAATTACTTTGTATTTTTGTACTTTTTTTTTAAACCGACCCTCATGTTTCGTATTCGCTTTTATTCATACAATAAAACAGGATCACGAGATTTTTTTTCACGTGTAAAATTTACTTTATTTCATGCATATTGACAACGGAAATTGAATACATATTACATTTACACATAATTATAAACATTTTATACAGAATGTTCATCACCCGTTCAGTGAGTCAAATTGTTGAACCTTCTGTGTCCTTTAAGATGTTTAGATTGAGATGGAACGAAACCAAAACCTAAAGGCATAAAAATGCCATGTTTTAATGTAAGTGATTTTTGTGATGTCTTATGAATACTAGCATTTTTCACAAAATGCGTTGCTTATGTTCGATATACGTTTTCCTTAATAGTATTCATCATAAGGAAAGTAATCTTAAGATTGCATGAGTAATATTATGATAACATCCAGATGAAGTTTTACGTCAATTGTATTTACTTTCTCGTCATTACAACGTTTCCTTAAGATTTAGAGGTGACATAGGCATAACAATCAATCCCAGACTTTGAATTCTCAGTAGATTTTGTAATATAATGTGTTTATATGACAGATGCAAACAAACATTATTTTACACTCGTTCCATCGAGAAATTTTAGTTCGTCAAACAAATTATTTTATTTTACAACCGGTCTCGCCCGTAGCAATGTTGTTTTTTTTTTTGTTTGTTTTTTTTCAATAATTTGTATGTACAATTTCGTGAAAACACAATTCGAAATTTTACAGTGTTGGCCTAAACTATATCAAAGTTCTACGCATGCTTTGATTATATTGCTGTTTTCTTACTTGTAAAAATAGTAAATACGTCCTTCTTTCGCAACAGAACTAACTGGTCGAATTACTTTTAGATGCTAAACCACGTAACTAACACCAGCTCAGACCACCGATGTATAATCTGTGATGAAAAGTAAATCAAATAGTTATATTACATCAGATTAATAAGTGACGGCTTAACAGACATGTAAGACGTATTTATATCTATTCATTTCTTCTTTTAAACACAAACCATGCGTTAATTAAATCGATCAGATTAAGCTTAGATGTCCCACTGGTTCATGCGTTTTTTGTAGATGCTGTCGAGTTTGGCGGGAGATGAGGGCGGCTCCACTAGGAATTGGAAAATGGGGGCGTAGCCAGGAGAAGGAATAGGGCCTGACAATAACTGCCCCTCTCCCATAGCCACGAAGAGTCGTTTCAGTTGTTCAAATGTAACAAACATGCAGATATTCCAGGAACCCAACCGGATGAAGGAAGGCATGAAACTATTGTAAAGAAAAATGCATCAGTTATTATTGAGATATGAATGGACCTAGACAGATGGCACAATACGAAACTTTTCAAGAGAAGAAGAGAGAGAGAGAAAAGCTTCAAGTTAAGTATTTCTGTTCAGCTAGCTGAAAGTCAAGAGTAGAGCCTATTTGTTTCAAACTTTTCCTGCAAAACTGCTAGATGAGAGGGAAAACAAATAGTCAACAGCTCCTCCACAGACCACGTTTTAGTAGCAGTCAGTTTATATGAGTTGCAAATTTTTGGGGGGTGGGCAACCTAAAAGTTTGAGAAACACTGTTCTAGATGACCGTTTCACGTGATTACTTATAAAGTTAATACAACGAAATAAGTTTTAGTCTCGTTTCACGGAATTATATACGAGGTTACTAGATGGAGGTTTTAATATGATGTTTAAAATTTATCCACTGTTTCAACTAAAACTTCGGGTAATTTGAGTGCTTGCACATTTACTACTGAAAATGGTGATAAAAAAAGTAACAAATTTCTTAAGAGGTAAATTAGCGAGCTGTCATTTGATACCAGGGCTCATCAGGTGGGCTAGGATACGAAGGACGATATTCATTACAACTGTTTCGGTGTGAATGAAATTAAGATGGTGGACTGTATCTTTTATAATTTTTATTTAAGTGACTGCACATTACAATAGGTATATGATTTCTATTAACATGGGATTACTTATCTATCTTAACAATAATTTTTTTATTATTGATATTATTTACCGTATTGGCCCGATTATAGGGCAATCTCGAATATAAGGCGACCCACATTTTCAGAAACCGTGGGAAAGAAAAAAATTGAGTGTCATATTTTTTAGGTCAGCAAAATCAATACTATAAATGAACAGCCTGCAGGTGAATTAGTTGCAAGAATTAGCGAGCATCTTGGGCAAACATCTGGCGCCCATGTGTAGATGGATGCTATCTGGACTTTCAGGAATGCGACAGGCTAGAGTAGGGAGAAGTGGGTCTGTGGTCCGCCACGATTATAAGGCGACTAGGAATTTTACAGCCTAATTATTAATTTAAAAACATCGCCTTATAATCGGGCCAATACGGTATTTACTTTTACTTGAATTAACTTTATTTATCATTCAGAAGAACTGACGAATGGAACCAGAAAGCTACTCCTTGTCTTTGTTTTTGTCCCGGAGTGGGTTAATTAAGTGGCAACAGCGACAAAACGAGAAAACTACATTAGTAATTTTAAGAAGTTATAACTTGCCAAAAACTCACAAGTGGGTGAATAACTTTGTCTACTCTTGTCTGTAATGTAAAAAGTATGTGAAATTTCACTTTGGCAATATTATAAAGTAACAAGTATGTGAAACGTCTCTTTGGCAATATTATAAAGTAACAAGTATGTGAAACGTCTCTTTGGCAATATTACAAAGTAACCAGTATGTGAAACGTCTCGTCGGCAATATTACAATGTAACAAGTATGTGAAACGTTTCGTCGGCAATATTACAAAGTAACCAGTATGTGAAACGTCTCGTCGGCAATATTACAAAGTAACCAGTATGTGAAACGTCTCGTCGGCAATATTATAAAGTAACCAGTATGTGAAACGTCTCGTCGGCAATATTACAAAGTAACCAGTATGTGAAACGTCTCGTCGGCAATATTATAAAGTAACTAGTATGTGAAATGCCTCTTCGGCAATATGCTAACTTACCCTTTATAAAACGCCAGAGGGCCCCCTTCCTTTGCCATTTTCATTGCACAATCCACAGCTCCCAGGTACTGCCCCTTATAGGAGTTCATGTAACGGGTTTTGACGACGTCTACTGGCGACGCCACAACTGTGGCGCAGAAGCCCGCACCGAAAGCAGACACGAAGTGACATGGAGAGTTATCTGACATCAGCTGGTGGCGCAGAATGGCTTCCTTGATCAAATCATAAGCCACTAGTTCCGAAGCGTTCACTATAGCATTTCTTGTAACGTTTGGTAACGTTCCTGAGGGGTGAAGAAAAATCGGTAATATGAGTGAAGGCCAGAATTGGTGATGTTATGAAACTCGAGTCTCATATTGTTGACGTTACCATCTTTATTTCTGGCAGTTAGAATACGTATATTAGAGATCCCGTCTTTATGTGACCACGGTGAGCAAATGTCATAATAGCACGGAGCAAGTAAGTAATTGTCTCATCTTATGTATTATACACATATATATATATATTCAATATCATATATTATATACATACGTATACAAATGTGAGTGTGTACATATATACAGTGTTTCAATAAAACAAACGATGTGTTGAAATGACGTCTG